ATTACAACTTTAAAATTGACTTCCTCTAGTGTCAGCCCACCTATGAAGCTGTGATGCAGATGGAATACCTGGACATGGTGGTGAATGAGTCAATGAGGCTGYATCCTATTGCCAGTCGATTGGAGAGAATGACGAAGGCCTCAGTTGAAGTGAACGGAGTGACCGTCCCAAAGGGAACTGTCATCATAATACCAGTTTACACTCTGCACCGGGACCCTGCTTTGTGGCCTGAGCCTGAAGCCTTCAAACCTGAAAGGTACTGTACTGGATTCATTTGCCACTAAATGCAGACAACAAAATATATACATTATATTAACAGTAGATTTCACAATAATGAAAACAATAAAAAGCCATTTAAAACATAATTATCATCTGACAGATGCCATGGATCCAACCCAAAGCTAAAAGTGTTTAAAAAATCTGACTGCTGCTGGAATAAAATATCTACTTAGTTGTTCAGTAGAACACTGAGGCATCGCTAGTCGATCACTGAATGAGTTTGTTAAAAACACTGTGTAATGGGAAGGCCTTCAAAGTACAGGACTGTTTTAAGCCTTGTCCTTGTTCTCTTTTCTAAAGTGACCTCAAGTGAGTGTGGGGTAAGGCCAATCACTGAACTGCGAAAAGCGGTATAGATGATGCAACTTACTGACAATTGTTCATGTTTTTTTCAGGTTCAGCAAAGAGAACAAAGACAACATCGACCCCTATGCCTTCCTACCCTTTGGAGCTGGACCAAGGAACTGTATTGGAATGCGATTTGCTCTCTTGTCGATGAAGCTGGCCTTAGTCATGGTCCTCCAGAATTTTAGCTTCATTACCTGCAAGGAGACACAGGTGAGACATTTTTTTATTAAGTGTGGTTGTTTGAATCAGGATGTGAAGTTTGATAGAGACTCATTTATGAAACATTTTGTTTTCCTAGATTCCGATGGAGCTGGGAGTGGATGGTTTTACCAGTCCTTCAGTGCCCATCAAACTGAAGCTGGAGCCCAGAGCCAATGATTCTATTTCAATCTAACTCTGATTGTGAGGCAGTTACCGGGCAGCTCTGACCCTAACCTGCTTCAAAATCAAGTCACCAGTTTATGTACCGCTTTTAGAAAAAAGAACATAAACATTATATTCCTATTCTTCAGATAAGTTCACTGTAGTTCAAGTTCGTGGAAAAA